CTCCCCAAACTGCACCCTCCTCAAGCTCCACCCCCGAAAAAGAAGAGGAGGAGGAGATTGGATTTATACCCCACCCTTCATTCGGCGTCTCAGAGCAGCTTACAGTCTCCTTTCCCTTCCCCTCCCCACAACAGACACCCTGTGAGGTCGGTGGAGCTGAGAGAGCTCTGACAGAAACTGCTCTTTTTCAAGGACAGCTCTGAGCGAACTGTGGCTTGCGCAGGGTCATCCAGCAGCTGCAAGTGGAGGAGTGGGGGGAATCAAGCCCGGTTCTCCCAGACTGGAGTCCACACAGTTAACCACTACGCCAAACCTCCAGGAATTCCCCAATCAATTGCTCCCCGGCACGATCAGATGCCGGGGAGACCGGGGAGACAGCGACGGGAGACTGCCGAACTGCGCATGTCTGAGCATGCGCAGTTCGGCCAGGAGTCGGGGATGTGCCGGCGAAAGGATGCGCTGGCGATTCCACGGCCGGCCTTGATGCGTAAGGGCCAGATCGGGGACGGGTGCGCAATGCTTCCCAGATGTTGCAGTGGGATCGCGCCCGTTTGCTCCGCCCCCGATCCGGCCCTCTCCCGGCCCAAAACCTCTCGTATGACCGGGGCCTTATGAAACATTTTCTTAGTATTAAAATTAAAATGTCATATTCTTTTCCACCTTAACTGCAAAAAATACATCTCTTTCATTCATAGTCCTAAGCAGGTGTGGGGCACAATGCCATAGGGTCCACTCTCCAAAGCGGCCACTTTCTCCAACGGAAGTGATCTTTGTAACCTGGAGATCAGTTGCAAATTCCAGGGGATCTCCAGGCCTCACCTGGAAGTTGGCAAACTGAGGCCCCTGCCACACAGGGGGGGGAGAGAACGGCCGAAGTGAGGCTTTTTAAAGCCGCACCAAAAGAGACACGCGGCGGCGGGATCAGATAGCTCCCCTGAGCCGCCGCGCAGTCGCTCCCCGCACGATCAGATGCCGGGTGGAAGCCACTGCAGGGAGAGCGAGGCAGCCGAACTGCGCATGTGTGTGCATGCGCAGTTCGGCCGGGAGCCTCGATTGCTCCTGCAGACGGGCGCGCGGGCGATCTCATGGCCGCACTTGCTGCGCCGTTCCAGGTTGCTGCTACCTTTTACTTGGTGGGGTTTTTTGCAGCGGGTTTTAGGCCGGAAGGGACGGATAGTTACGGGTGCATGCCGATTCCCAGATGTTGCGGTGTGCTCGCGCCTGTTTGCTGTGCCCCGATCCGTCCTTCTTCTGGCCCAAAACCTTCCGTGTGACCGGGGCCTGAGAGGCCACCCCAAATGCCCATGTGCCCATACTGTCTAAGAGTTGAAATCTTCCCCAGAGCAGATAGTCTGGTCCTCGTCATGAACAGGATATCTCCCAATATGGCTGCCGATCCCATGTCATCACGAGGTAAGCAGCCATTTTGTTCTGAGCCTCTGCGGAGAATGTTCTGGAACAGGAGGCAGCAGAGGCCTACTAATAGTGCTCTCTCCGCCACCGAGTGGAATGCCACATGGTTGAAGCTCCTGTGTGGAGCGCTGTTTTTCTTCCTCGTGGCTCGTAAGGATTTGATGTCTCTGACTGCGTTTGAAAGCCCCAGAGGGGCAGAAGACCAGGACATACATTTCCAGAAAAACAAAAGCCGCTACCAGCCCACAAATGGAAACCGCAGTAAAAGACGATCTCTGCGTGGTGGGAAAAGAACATCCTCCCGTTTTTGTGGGGGGTTTGGAAGACTCTCAGGAGAGGAGTCCACAGTCAGCATCTCCGAGAGATGAATTAGCAGGAAGGGAGGGGAGAAACGAGTGGGAAGAGAATGGCAAGAAACCTCAAGAGACTCGGGGACGGAAATAGACTGGAAAACTTAAGAGCTGGCTGATTTTTGAGGGATGATGGCGGACCTGCGGAGGGGACCACTTTGGGCTCTGGAATCCAGCAAAGGGAGCGTCTGGAATGTTCCTAAGTACCTTCTAATGATAGATGAGCAATGAAGCAATCTGCAATGTGTTTAAAAATGGCCACTAGGGGGTGCTCTATGCAGTTCACCTATGAAACTTTGCCCCTTGTCGTATCATAGAGCAAGGGTCTTCAACTTGGTAACCCCTCCTGATATCCACCAAGTGTTGTTAGAAAGTAGGTGAGACCAGGTGGGGCTTTTGCCCATAGGGTTGCCAGCCACCAGGTGGGGCCTGGGGAATCTCCCGCTTTTCCAACTGATCTCCAGCTGACAGAGATCAGCTCCCCTGGAGAAAATGGCTGCTTTGAAGGGTGGACTCTGTGGCCTTGTTCCATGCTGAGGCCCCTCCCCTGCCCAAACCCCGCCCTCTCCCAGATCCACCCCCAAAAGTCTCCAGGTATTTCCCAACCCAGACCTGGCAACCCTATTTGCCCAGCAAGACTTCTGATTGGCGAACGGGCAGTTTGATTGACTGCACAGGTTTTTCTAAATGTTGCCCTGGCAGCCACTGCCCCCACAGCATAAGGATCTTCACTGTATGGGTGAAGGGAAGCTGCGCCAGCCATTTTGTGACTGGC